ACAGTCTGGGATCCCCTTCAGCCAGAGGCCAGAGCCAAGTGACTTGGCTGGACCACCCATCTCATCAGTACCCCCTCGATGTATGTCAGAGCTTCCTCAAGGCCTTGGGTGTTCGTGTACTCAAGGTGATATTGAACATGAAGTGTTCAAACAGCAATACCTGAAGTGAGAGACAAAGGCTGGTCAATGATCCTCTTCATAATTCTCCCACTGAAGGAAGCAGTTACTTCAAACTCCAAGAAGAAAAAATTGTTCCCATGAGATAGGGCTTTTAAATTGCCCCTGCCCTGGCCACAGTACTCTCAGAGAGAGAACACTGATCTCACCAGGAGAATGTGGCTGTGACTGGAGTGCCCAGGTTAGAGATAGGAAGAGCTGCAAGTGACTCAGAAACAGCTATATTAGAGAAGCAAAGTCTCGCCCTGGAATAAGTTGATAAGGACTGAATACCTAAACACAGTACTTTAAAAAAGAAACGAGTCAGTAGTTAAAGATCCTGAAGAAAGAAGCTGACATTCCAACACACACTTAATAATAAGACCCCATGGGATGTTCAAAAGTTCTCCAGAGTAGGTGTGAACAGCTAGATTTCCCTTGTCCCATCAGTTAAGGGTTCCCGCCTCTGTTTGTTTTTTTTTTTTTAATTTAATTTATTTCTTTTTGGCTGTGTTGGGTCTTCGTCGCTGCATGTGGGCTTTCTCTAGATGTGGCGAGCGGGGGCTACTCTTCGTTGCAGTGCACACAGGCTTCTCATTGCGGTGGCTTCTCTTGTTGTGGAGCACGGGCTCCAGGCGCATGGGCTTCAGTAGTTGTGGCTCGTGGGGTCTAGAGCACAGGCTCAGTAGTTGTGGCGCACAGGCTTAATTGCTCCACGGCATGTGGGATCTTCAGGGACCAGGGCTCGACCCCATGTCCCCTGCATTGGCAGGCAGATTCTCAGCTACTGCGCCACCAGGGAAGCCCCACCCCCCCCATTTTTTAATAAGGAAAAACTGACGGTTGATATCTGAACCCATTATATAATGGGCTTATTACCAAATGTGGGTTCAGTAATTCTCAAAACAAAAAAAATTCCCATTCCTTTCAGAATGAAAGAACTCCTCTAACTTCTGTTAACTATAGATATATTGGGGCTGGTAGAATCCTTACTGTGTCTCTAATTTTAAGCATGGATGGTAGAAAGCAAAGGATACACAACCTAGGCAGCTATCAATACTTTTTGTAGCACTGGATATACCAGCAAGCCAAGGTCATTATGAAAGTAAAATTTCTTTCAAAGTAAAAAATGTACTACTAGTCTTTTACTAGTACAAGAGTAAAGCACAGTAGTTATCAGTGCTTTACTGGTAATTATAAGCCTCCAAAAGTCTCAACAAGTTGACCATACACTACCTATGTACAAGAACATATAGTGTGGCCTCCAGTGATAATAATGAAAGGAAAGAATAAATTTTGGAAATTCTTTACATGGTTTGTCATAAAAATTAATCAGTCCAAACCCCCGAATTGTAAAGACAAGTTTTGAAGGGTTAAGAGGTGTGCTTCAAAGAGCTGTTTCCTTAATATGAACTTTGTGAAGATCATTAAAATCTTTTAAAGTCACACAACATGTAAGAACACCTCAGGGTCACAAGGAAGGTTGTGGAGCTTAGGGTGAAAGCCTCTGCTGATGATTTTTTTTCTAATTTAATTTTTATTTTATATTGGAGTATACTTGATTTACAATGTTGTGTTAGTTTCAGGTGTACAGCAAAGTGATTCAGTTATACGTATACATATATCTATTCTTTTTCAGATTCTTTTCCCACATAGTTTATTACAGATTATTGGGTAGAGTTCCCTGTGCTCTACAGTAGGTCCTTGTTGGTTATCTATTTTATATATCATAGTGTGTATATGTTAACCCCAAACTCCGAATTTATCCCCCCACCAACCTTTTCCCTTTGGTAACCAGAAGTTTGTTTTTGAAGTCTGTGAGTCTGTTTCTGTTTTGTAAATAAGTTCATTTGTATCATTTTTTTAGATTCTACATATAAGTGATGTCGTATGATATTTGTCATTCTCTGTCTGACTTACTTCACTCAGTATGATAATTTCTAGGTCCATCCATGTTGCTGCAAATGGCATTACTTTGTTCTTTTTTGTGGCTGAGTAATATTCCATTGTATATATGTACCACATCTTCTTTATCCATTCCTCTGTTGATGGACATTTAGGTTGCTTCCATGTCTTGGCAATTGTAAACAGGGCTGCAGTGAACATTGGGGTACATGTATCTTTTTGAATTATGGTTTTCTCCAGATATATACCCAGGAGTGGGATTGCTGGGACATATGGTAGCTCTAGTTTTAGTTTTTTAAGGAACCTCCAAACTGTTCTCCATAGTGGTTTGTACCAATTTACATTCCCACCAACAATGTAGGAGGGTTCCCTTTTCTCCACACCCTCTCCAGCATTTATTGTTTGTAGACTTTTTAATGATGGCCATTCTGACTGGCGTGAGGTGATACCTCATTGTAGTTTTGATTTGCATTTCTCTAATCATTACTCTGCTGCTGATTTCTGATGCTGACTGGGAAAGAGCAATTCCCAGGAAGAACCCAGCCGCACCTTGGAGTAGTGCTGCCCTCATAGGCAAATCTCAGCTTTGCCACACCTGCTGAAGAACTGGCTTCCATTGGTGGCAGGGTTGTCCCTGGAGTTCCTTCTCAGAGGTCAGCAGGGGCATAGGTGTCCCAGTCGTGTTACTCCGTGAGCTGTACTGTGAGGGCATCCCCAGAGCAATCCACTTTCCAATCCCATGCCCTTCCACTGAACGAAACCCCGCAAACATGAATGCCTATCGGGAGCAGAACATGCTGCCGTCCCACTGCCACTCTGCTGTTTATCTGCCTTTTTCCTCTTGCTTGGTCTCCTTCTAATTATTGGGCTATCACCTCCAACTCCAGGGAGCCAACGCGTATTTTATTTTTCCAATCTAAAGATGAATAAGGAGTCTATCTTCTCTAGTCCGATGCACAAGATGAACTTTCTCAACTCATCCTCCTCAAGGAAAAGAAGTTGTTGGGTGAGTCCTGTGTGTGTTTCAGTTTATACACGTCTTAGAAATAGCATATGCACACACAGATGCAGGGCCCCCTCTCTCAGGAAGCCTTTGCTCCTTTTACGTGTATCAAGTGATATAGAGGTTGCCATGGTTAGTATCTCTGTTTTGCTCATAGTGTTGGGGAAAAAGCACCCGAAATGGGCATATTGCAATTTAGAAAATTCCCTGGGTACTTTTAAAGCACTGGATCACAATGTACATTTTTTTAAGTGTCGTCAATGACAGCATATTGGTTGTCGTTTTTTGAACACTTCTTTGTGGAAGGACTCATCCATACCTGGATCGCTGTTTCTGTTTTTTTAGATGCCTGTTTGTTTCCCACATTGAGGATTCATTTGGGTTATCTCAGGCAAATCTACGGACAAGGGTGGGAGGAGGATGAAAATCGGGGAGGGGTGGCGGTCAACATGGGAAAGGGATGAGAAAGGCAAGCTTGGACATTTAAAAGTGTCAATCATTCTTACTCGTTTCCTGGGTCTGCCACCTTCTGTCTGTGTGACTTTGGGACCCTCTCTTCCTCAGTTTCATCATCTGTAAAACTGGGATAACAGGGCCAACTTCGGGGAGTTGTGAGGTGTAACAAGTTACTATTTAAGTGTTTAGAGCGCTGTCTAGCACATAGAAAGCATTCACTAAATGTCCCCATCCTTATTCATACTTCAGTCAATACATAAGGTGTTGGGGGCTGGGCCTTTTGAAGGAGAATGATTCTTCATATCAACACCACCATCACACATTATTGAAATATTTTGGTGTGAATGGGGCCAATTGACACCCAAACTTCCCCTCCACTGCTGTCTCCTCTCCTCTCTCCAGGTTCAGTAAGTTCCTTTATCTACTCTAAATCACAGATAACTTATCAAGTTACTGCTCCCGGGGGAATCTGTATTTTAACAAAGATCAAAACCTTAAGTGAAAAGGTGTCTCTTGGTGGAATTTCAGAAGGTGAGGGTGGAAGGAGGTTTCTAAAAGTCTTCCAGTCACACCCCAGGTGTGGTTGCTTCAGATGTCTACCAGTAGAAGCTGACTCTGGCAGGAAGTCACTTGCACTTTTCACTAATTGAGGTCCTGCTCTACTGAATCTTGCAATGTAAAAAAGAGAACTTTGACCCAGAGTGATAATAGACCAAGTAAGTTACCCCTCTGTCCAGGTATTGGCTGGGAGGTGGAGGGGGGACAGTCAGGTGGCGCAAGAGCTCTTGTTGGGCTTCAAGAACTTCACAGTTTATTGGAAAGGACAAAACACATCAGATGGTGATAAGGAAATGTGTGTGAGTAAAAGGAAAAGAGGTGTGTTGACAGAAGACAGCCTGAGGAGTTTATAGAACAGGAACGTTTCTCAGGAACTTGAATGCGGTGGAGGTCTTTCGAAAGGGTTAGGATTACACTGCCTGGAGGCTGAGGTATGGCCTGGAAAGTGACTTAGCCCAGCCCTTCCTAGCTGGATGATTAACTGGACGATCTAGCACAGGGATCTTCACTGGAGAGAAACAGGAGCTCAGTACTGATGATTCATTCTCATCTACTTGACATCATTTTCAGATTTTCATTTAACTTTTCCCTTCCACATCAGATACCCCTAACTCTTGGGTGGTCTGCCACACCACTTCCTGCCAAGTCCCAGCTACTTTACTCTAGGTGGAGGGCTGGAGTACTGGATCTTATTTCAAAAGAAGAGAGGAAATTGAAACCAGAAAGTCTTTGTGATGAACTTTAAGAGATTCTTTTTTTCCTCCAATACAGGTTTCCCAAGGCTGCTATCTCTAGCTTAGGATATGGTCCCTTCTTTCCTTCTTTCTTCCTTCCTTCCTTTCTTTCTTTTCTTTTTCTTTCTTTCTTTCTTTCTTTCTTTCTTTCTTTCTTTCTTTCTTTCTTTCTTTCTTTCTCTTTCTTTCTCTTTCTTTCTTTCTCTCTCTCTCTCTTTCTTTCTTTCTTTTTCCCTTTCTTTTTCCTTCTTTCTTTTTTTTCTTTCTTTTTCTTTCTTTCTTTTTGTGAGAGTTAACCATTCAAAATGGAAATCCTTTTATAATTCGATCTAGTTATGCAAACATAGCCCACTGATGTTACCAAATAGAGATTGGATGCAAATAACCCACTCAAGCATAACATGGAATAATTAGTAGGAGCTAAAGCAAACTGGGTTTCTCCCCACCACCCTATTACCTCATAAGAATTCCTTCCATTTGGAAATGAGCAAGAGGAAAAGAAAAAAAATGGGACTATTAAGATGTTTCAAACGGTCTTAAAATGACAGCAATAGAGTTGCTTAGATCACACAAGATTGCCATGTAAACAACTGAAGTAACTTCACAGTTATGTGAAATTAAGCATGCATCCCTAAGAAAGGTTCAGTCCCTCCATCTCATGAAGGCTAAATTAACTACCTCAGGAAATCAGATCCCAAATGGAGGTCACTGAGTCAGTGATTCATAGCCAGGTGTGCAGAAGACTAGGTTCTCTGCAATTCACGAAATAGGGCGTCACTGAATACAGTGAAATGTTATGACATTCCCTGGGGCACTGGCTGTTTTAACTATTCTGGATAGACAGCCAAGCAGTTGTTGGGTGAGGCCTAATACAAGGAATCCTAGAATGGTAGTGGTATTGCCATTTTCTGTAGAGAAGAAAGTTTCTGTTGAGTAAAAGGAGGTAGGTAATATAAACCAGTTCCCAGCACGTCCTCACACCTCTGAACTGGCTACCATTACTGCCTGCTTTTCTCAGCACGCCATTGCCTTATGAGTGGCTGTTTGATCAAGAGGCTGAAATCTTGACTGGTGCGATGGGTCAGATTTCCTTTTAGAATCATTCTTGATTTTTAAAGCTTTTTTTTTTTTTTTTTGCAGGGTCCAGGACTGGGCCCTGTGAACCTTCATAGGTGGCAGAGAATGAGAAGAAAAATTGGGAAAAAAAGAGATAGCAATACTTCACGTTAGGGAAACCCTCCAGAGAAGCATTTGAGTGAAATCTTCCCAATTTAGCTCTGTGACTGAATTAGACACAAACCAAGAAAGGCCCAGAAGGTCCTCAGTAAATGTTGGTAGAGTGAATGTTGACCAAAACCCTGAAGCTCCTTCCATGAGATTCTCCAGAGCTTCGATGTTATTGACACAATGTTCTTCCTAAGGTGAACCTCAGTCCCTTCTCCAGCACCTGCAGCTCATTTTCTCTCTTCTTACCCTGAGGAAAAACACGGAAGATGCTGATATTGTTGTTCTTATGTCTCTGTTAAATTTGCACATATAAAACCCGCCCTCAATTTTCCATATTGTGGACTAAATAACCCCAATTTTGAAAGCTTTTCCTTCAAAAAGGCAATTTCACAAACATTGCCGTGTGCCCATCTTAAGAATTACAGGTGCTTAGAAGTAACTTACATATGACCATATAGACATACCCACACTGAGATACATAATGTGCTTCATTTATAAAGGTCCCGTTTCCTGTTGAAATCCCTGCATCCTGGGCAGTTGGTGGCAGTGCTGTAGGCTTCTGTCTCTTCTCTCGAGCCCAGAAGGAGGTGATAGCTGATGAGCTAGACTTATAAGATGCAGCCCCATACTGATTAAACGTCCATTTTCTTGAGGAAATGGCTGACAGAAGGAGGATAAAGCTGTGAGGAAGCTTGTAGCAATTTCCCACATCTACCACCACCAGTGAGCTTAGAGCAATTGTTAGCAAAACAATGGCTGGAAAATGTACCAGGGAGAAAATTAAGAAATGACAGACCTGCTTCTCAAAAGTAAGAATAAAGTTTCTTTTGTTAAGTTTTTCAAAGCAGAAAGCTTCCCTTTAGCTAGATATATCATCCAGCTGTGGCACCTGGGCAAGGAAGGTGACCAGGCAGCATGGGCTCCAGTTAGCTGTGTGCAGGCTCTGACCTGAGCGGCCACTGCCCAGATGGAAACACAAGCTCGGGGCTCTCTACTGGGGAAGAGAAGCACGGTGCTGGCCTTAAAATCCTAAAGCCACCTGTGAACCACGGTGTGGGTACTGATGGGGTAGAGAGGGTATGCAGGAGTATGGTGGTGAACAGAGAAGGCTGTTGCCTTTAAAGAGTAATGGAAAGGACTCTGGCTAGGGCTGTGCTTTCCAGCATAATGGCCAGTAGCCCCATGTGGGTATCGAGCACTTGCAGTGTGGCTGGTCTGACTGAGACGTGCTCTGAGCATTAAATACGCACCAGAGCTCAAAGAATTAGTGTGAAAAAAAAAGAATGCAAAGTACATCCTTTATCATCTTTAAGATGGACTACGTGTTGAAATGATATTTTGGATAGATTGAACTAAATCAAGTAAATGATTAAAGGGAATGCTACAACATGAGGAAAGCTTGAAACACAATGCTAAGCGAAAGAAGTCAGACACAAAGGCCACACGTTGTACCATTCCACTTATATGAGATGGCCAAGAGGCAAAGCAACAGAGACAGAAGGTAGATGGTTGGCTGCTCAGGGCTGGGGGTTTTGGAGGGAAATGGGAAGTGAGTGCCGATGGGTATGGAATTTCTTTAAGCGGCGATGAAAATGTTCTAAAATTGATCGTGGCACTGGTTGTACAGCTCTGTGAATATACTCAGTTGTACACTTTAAATGTGTAATTGTATGGTATGTGAATTTTATCTCGATAAAGCTGTTTTAAATTAACAAATTTGGATGCAAAAATTTTTTTTTTACCTGTTTAAACTTTAAAAAAAGGTAGCTAGTAGGAAATTTTAAATTATATAAGTGGCTGGCATTATATTCTGTTGAACCTGCTGCGCTAAGGGGACTGAGGGTGAAGAAGCTGGGAAAGCCCAGGCTAGTGGTTCCCAAAGGGCTGATCCTAAACACCAGGCAGAAGAGTAGCCAGACGTGGTCACCTTTGGTTCAGGGCAAAGAGGAGTGAAGGGTGACGGAGAACCTAGCCTGGAAGGTTGGGGGGTTTTGAGGATAAGGAGATAACTCCAGGACTGGAGCCGGCCTCTGTACCAAGTGCCAGCATGGGACTGATGGCAGACCCCAATTCCTGGCCCCTAGACAAACAGGGGGCGCCGAGTTTGGTCACCTCTCCAGAACTCTTATCAGCCCGGCCCTACCCTTCACGAGTGGCTGCCCTGGCTACCTCTGACCCAGGCTGGCAGCCTCTTGGGCTGAGAGGGTCCACATCTTGACGCACCTGTAATGCATCTGCACACCTGGAACCCAGTCTTGGTGAGCTATGGCAGGCAGACCGGGGAGCTCTGGCCTTGTCCTGGGGGATGGAAACTTCTTCAAAGAATATTGCCAAAGGAGCTTGTTAGGTCTGCTTATGAAATGTCATAAACAAACCCTTGAGTCGGTCAGAGGCTGGATGCAGCATAAAGGGAAGCCTTGGGTGCTTTCTTGGCATCCTCTCCCCAACCCAGGTTTCTTTCCAATTCAGTTCCCCTCCCCCTCAAAAAAAAGCACAACAGTATTTCAAAGGACACAGCTCGTTGAATGATGGGTAAGGAAGCTACACTTAGGGCCTCCCAAAAGGAAGGATCCCATGACTTATCTCTGGAAACCAGAAAGATGATTGGACTGAAGGGTAGATTGGAGTGAATTAGCCAGATGAATTGAAACCCCACAGGTCTAGTTCTGAAGGAGGGGGTCAGTGCCCTAGAAAGGAGAGAGGAAATGAAATATACTGTATTTGGCAGTGGCTATTTAAATTTTAAAATTGCAAAGTGAGAATTTGACCTTATCCTGTGTCTTATCCAAGCTATGTCCTGAAATTTGCTCCAGTGGTAAATTTGGTTAGTTTCTCTCATGACTGACTGTGTACCAGGTTTCAGAGGATAGGGTGGTGATCAGAGAAAACGCGGTGGACAAAGTTCATGAACGTAGGAGTATTATCTGGGCAGAGGAAGAGCTCCTGTTTTCTTGCTGTGATGAAGTAACAGCAGAAAGTTAACTGTTCATTGAAGGCTTGGGAGACATAGAGGTGAGCATCTTCTGTATGACTGGAAGCTCCTGAAGGGCAAGGTTATAAATTACTCATGTCTATATCTCCACCATAGGGACTGGCACATGGTAAATTCTCAAGGAATACTTGGAGCGTGGATGGTTGGGTGGATGGAGGGAGGGAGGGAGGGATATGACACAGTAGATAATTGATTAACAGTTCTGTTATGTAATGATTTAGTGTTTTGGGTGGTGGATGATGAGGAAGAAGAACTTGAAAGATTTCATTTATGTGATAGGGAAATAAATTCTGAAAGTGTTAAACTAAAACATATGATAGCATATTGCATATTTGGTTTTGTCAGCTATCTAGTTTTTCCAAACAGTGCTTAGACATGTTGAATAAGAGTGTGGGTAGAAAGGGGAAAAAATGCCTAGAATTACAGCTCATGGGCCTCCCTCTCTGGATCTTGGAAGACACACACCACTTAGGAGTGGACGAATGACTTAATGATGATGTTGTCAGGGCCCTCAGAATAAATATTGCCTTTTCCATTCCCACTGCTGGTACTACACAGTGCAGCTGGTGTATCATCAAGAGGCTGAGATCTCCTCATCCTTCTCTTCTGAGTCAGGCAGCATAAGGTGGTAAAAAAGTTGCTCAAGAATCATTTGAATCCTTCATCCCTTGTCCTTGCAAGGTGAGGTAATCCTTTCTGACCAAGGATCCTGTCCTATAAGTGAGTTGGCTTTTTGCGTTGGACAGTTAGCAACCTATATTTTAAGTCAAGGTATTTAAAAGTCAGGACACAGAAAGAGTTTCTATCTCCAGATAGTTCTATACCAGAGCTTAAAAGGCTCGTCTGGAATATTAGAGGGCAGGGAACTTCAAAGAAAACAAAACCATGTGTTATTTTCAGATTGAACTTAGATCTCTAAAAATTCCGTGAAACTCTCTTATGTGGGTCCGAGGCACGCCACTAATCGAGGTGGACGTGACCCTGGTAGGGTGAGCTGAGGAAGCTGGATTCTTTGAAGGAAGTAACTTTCTGTGATATCATGTCGGGGATGTGCAGGTGCAGCTGGGTGGGAGCCTTTGGCACCAGGACTCCCTGTAATGGGTCCAAATCCCTGGTGCCCATACTCCTTGACCCAAGTCACTTCTGCTCATGAACCTGTACTGTGACCCACAAGCAGCCAGCAGCGGCTGAAAGGAAACGATGTGGCAACTGTGTCCGAAGACGATGCTTAAATGTTGGAAACAAAAGAAAATCCATTTTAAAATATGCCGTTGTATTTTACAGAGGCTCTGCAAGATTTAGAAAGCGTGTTTAGCATTCCAAGTATGCTCCCTTCTGTGTCTGTAGAGACTGGCTCTGAGAATGATTTTTTTGTTTATTTAACATTTAATCAAAAGAGACACGGACCCCACCAGCTTTTGAAGAATAGCTTCAGTAGCACTGCCTCTTTGCATTTAGTTTGAGGAGAGAAACTTCAACCATACGGAGAATTTGGTGTCTGTAATACGTACTAAAAGATCAGCTGGTCTAACTTTACAGGGCTAATAAAAGGGAAGAATTTTCCTGGGCTCAGGTCTTTTATGAATTATAAATAACCATTCACTTTGGAAGATAGCACATCATAAAACTTTTTTTCACAAATATGCACAAATCCATTTTAAGATCCAAGAAAAAAGATGTTCAGAAGTCTCAGATGTACTCAGTTTTGATTTCGTGGGGAAACATATTCTTTTACCATATGGATGCTTTTAAAGGGGCCTTCAACTGGGGCTCAATAATGACACCCTAGTGGCTAAATAAGGCATTTCTTTCCTTCTAACATTATTTCCCTGTTATTAAAGGTGGAAAAACCTTCCTCAAATAGCATACTATTAGAGTGCTTTAGGGGCTATCCTGGGAATCAAGGTTATGTGTCTGCTCCAGAAATACCGTTGTCTGTAATTATCATTCCCCAATGGTTCTGAGGATGCAGTCTTGGTGCTTTCATTAACTTCTTGATTCTACAACTCTGAAGCACTTGCCGGCTCTTGATACTCAACATTTTACAGTAGGAGGTTTTTTTGTGTGTGGTTTTCTTTTTAGGGTCACAGGTCTCTCTCCCTCCCTTCCTCTCATAATAACCATTTCCTGGCTTCTTTTGTCTGCTACAATAAAAGGTATGAAAGACTAGATTTAAAAAGAAAAAGAAGTCAGATGTGAGATTCTTACAAACCCAAGGCTTCATCTTCTGTATTTATAATCTAATATGAATATTAAAAGATGGAGTATTTAGATCTAACAAACAACTGAAGAGGGTCCATGAGTAAGGCTAGCACATTCATTTTCTTCCCCCAACACTTTACTGTGAGTGTTTCCAAATATACACAAGATTTTACACAGCATTTTACAGTGAATACCCGTCTACCCACCATTTAATTGTAGCGTCTGCCATTAACATTGTACTACCTTGCTTTATTGCGTACCTATACATCCCTCCTCCATTAATCCTTCTTATCTTCCTCATGCCTTTGAAAGTAAATGGGGGCTTCCCTGGTGGCACAGCGGTTGGGAATCCGCTTGCCAATGCAGGGGACACAGGTTTGAGTCCTGGTCCGAGAAGATCCCACATGCCGCGGAGCAACTAAGCCTGTTCACCACAACTACTGAGCCCGCGCGCCTAGAGCCTGTGCTCCGCTGCAGGAGAAGCCACCGCAAGGAGAAGCCCGTGCACCACAATGTGGAGTAGCCTTTGCTCGCCGCAACTAGAGAAAGCCCACACGCAGCAACGAAGACCCAATGTAGCCAAAAAAAAAAAAAAAAAAGAAGAGTAAATGGCAGGGACTTCCCTGGCAGTCCAGTTGTTAAGACTCTGTGCCTCCACTGCAGGGGGCACAGCTTTGATCCCTGATGGGGAAACTAAGATCCTGCGTGCCACAGGGCATGGCCAAAAAAAAGTAAATGGCAGGCATGAACCAAATTCCACCTAAAAACTTCAGTTTGATATTTACTTTTTTCTTCTGATGTAAAATTTATATATAATAAAATATAAAACCTTAAGTGTATACTTTCTGAGTTTTGTGTACCCGAAGTCCTGTTAAGACACAGAACGTCACCATTGCCCCAGAAAGTTCCCTCCTAGTTTCCTGTCAATCCTTGCCCCTACTCCCCTTCCCAGAGGCAACCACTGTTTTGATTTTTTTCACTACAGATTAGTTTTGCCTATTCTAGAATTTCATATAAAAATGGAATCAAATAAAATAAACTCTTTCGAGTAAGACCTTTTTCACTCAGCATACTGTCTATGAGATTGAGTCACGTTATTCTGTGTGAAAGTAGTTCATTCCTTTGTATTGTTGAGTAGTATTCCATCGTGTGACTATACCACAGTTTGTATGGTCGACCATTCATCTGTTCATGGACACCTGGGATGTATCCAGTTTTTGGCTATTGTGAATAAAGCTGTTGGGAACATTTTTATACAAGCTTTTTTATAGACATATGCTTTCATTTCCCTTGTGAAAAACCTACTTGCATAACTGGTAAATCACAGATGTATGTTTAGTTTTTTTTTTTAATTTTTATTTTATATTGGAGTATAGTTGATTAACAATTTTGTGTTAGTTTTAGGTGTACAGCAAAGTGATTCAGTTATACATAGACATGTATCTATTCTTTTTCAAATTCTTTTCCCATTTAGGTTATTACAGAATACTGAGCAGAGTTCCCTGTGCTATACAGCAGGTCCTTGTTGGTTATCTATTTTAAATACAGCAGTGTGTACATGTCAATCCCAAACTCCCAGTCTATCCCTCCCCTCCACCTTCCCCCCTGGTAACCATAAGTTTGTTCTCTAAGTCTGTGAGTCTGTTTCTGTTTTGTAAGTATGTTCATTTGTATCATTTTTTTTAGATTATGCATATAAGCGATATCATATGATATTTGTCTTTGGTGTATGTTTAGTTTTTAAAGAAACTGCTATTCCTTTTTCAAAACAGATGTTCCATTTAATATTCTCACCAACAATGCATGAGAGTTCCAGTTGCTCCACATCCTAGCTTGCATTTAGCGTTGTCATCCTGGTGAGTACGTGGTGATATCTCATTGCGGGTTTAATTTCCATTTTCCTAATGACTAAGAACATTGAACACGGCACCATGTGCTTATTTGCCATTCATACATCTTTTGTGAAATGTCTTCAAATCCTCCATCCATTCAAGCAATTTTTTTGTCTTTATTACTGAGTAGGAGTTCTCTATATATTGTGGCTATCAGTCCTCTGTCAAGTTTATGTTTCACAAATATTTTCTTCCAGTCCATGGCTTGCCTATTCATTTTCTTAATGGTCTCTTTTGATGAGAAATTTTTAATTTCAACGAAGTCCATTTTATCAATTTTTTTCTTTTATGGTTATGGCTTTCAGTGACCTAAACAAAGCACATTGATCTTAATAAATGGTGTTCCTAAAATCTATTGTAGGCTCCAGGAAGTTCAGAGCTTCACTGGGCTCATTGTAATAGCTGTTTTTGCCTAAAGAAACATCCGCTTATGTACACATTGGGAACAATTAAGGAAAACCTGGTGATCTGTCAACACTCACTCTCAAGAACATCCCAGAGAATGAAGCAAAGTCTAGATCTCCCTTTCCACTGTGCTTTTTATAATAACAAGCTTGTTTTGATGGCTGGAAAGAGTCACAACCAATAAAACCACCTGGTCATGGCCTTGTTATGGAGTCAAGTCAGCCCTTCTGCTTATGGGCATCATAAGTGGCTTTTTATAAATTAATCATATGTTACTGAAAAATCACATCTTAAATGGTTTGAATGTACAGCATGGATGAATGAAGAGTCTTCCCCAGAAGGCTTTAAAAAAAAAAGAAAAGAAAAATCCACAGAGAGAGTCAGGTGTGAGCAATGGCATGGGGTAAAATGAAGAGCAGACTGAAAGGGGGAATAGTGGGCAATGAGAAAAGCAGGACTTGGAGAAACAGAGAAGCTGAAAGGACTCTTCCCACCTGTTCTTAGGCTGCACACTGAGTCTTTCCCCAAGATTTTACCCTGACTCTTTGCCAACTGTTCTGCTTGTCAGTGAAGCTGTTTGATTTCTCCCTTTGTTTCTCGTTTGGACCAAAGGGACACTCAATACGGACATGACATTTTGAAAACTAAAGTCACATCTTTTTCACCCTATCTTCATTGTTGTTCTGGCCTACTTTCTCTTAGACATTTTCTTGAGGGTGCAGGCTGAATGTGGTCTTTCAAACTTCATGTCAACTCCCTTGCCTGTCTCTCCCTTTTTGATTTCATCTTCTCCCAATGATCGTTAATGTTCTACAACTGCTTATTTAGTTGTGGGTTATCCCAGGCCTTTTGCTTCTACTTTTTATCATTAAACAAAATTTCCCCTTTATTAGAGATGGTGATTCAGAAAAAGAAAGGGATGTAGGTTAAATGGATGACTTTTACTGTTTGATCATAGGTTGAAATTAGCAGTCAAATTTTTGTTTTTCACTGATCCAGTAGGTTTTTATAACCTACCATTTTGGTTTCTGACTATATGATTCTCACTGGAAGTTGTCTTGAAATATAAACTGTGGAGAGAGAACACCAATTTGCAAAGCCCTGGGCAGTGCTAACCCTGGAGAATATTCACCGATGACTGTGTGGGTGTGCCTGCCAGGCCAGAACAGGATCTAGGAGAACTTTCCCAGCTTACCTGCCTGTCTTCATCCAATGACTTTGATTATGAAGAGTAGCTGTGGGTGGTAAGTTTTTCTGGTCTCCTGGATCTGTTCCTGAAGAGAGCAGATAAGGTCAGAATGAGAGAAAGCTAGGTTCTGAATTAGAAAAATCAAGCAGGACTTCAGAGCCTCTGAAATAATAAAGCTATGCCCTAAGTCATTAATACACAAACATGATTGAAATAATCAGAAGGGAGAAACAAATAGGGTTAAAGTCACAGGGCCACATGATAAATTATGCCTGGCTATGCAAGTGGGTTAAATCACTTCCTAAGATGTTGCCAACAGCACAAATATCTGCATTTAGCCTCACATGCAACAACAACAACAAAAATGAACCAAAAATACTAAGTTTCTTCCCCTTTGGAAAAGCTGGATACTGCTATTATAGTGTCTCCATTAAGACACAGGAGGATCTTGGGTAGAGTGGGCTAGGTGGGTCCCACTGGTCTGTGTGGGTAGAGTTAAGTGAGGAGCTTGGTGGAAAGGCTTGTGAAGCTGTACTTTCTGTAAGGCAGTCCTGTTGCCAATCCTCCTCACATTCATTTTCTCCTCATGAATATTCTTTACACCAATTGAAGTGGAAGGTGAAATGGTCCAAAACTCAGTCGTGGAAGCTTATTCTTTTTTCTCATTTTGAGTTACTTCAAAATGTATATAAAGTAAAATGCAGAATCCCGAAACACTGTTTCAGTCTGAAACTAAGCTCAAGCTCCTTGGCTTGGATGTAGGGTCCCTCATGAGCAGAAGAGTCTGAGTTGGAAAGGGGAAATGAATAATAGGGGATGGGACCCACGGGAAACATACATTGATGTACCTTCTTTCATTCTCTTCCTTCTTTCTTTCCTCCCTCCCTTCCTTCCTTCCCTCCCTTAGTATTCTTGCATGGCTGCTCCATCTTTCTAAGGAACAGGTCTGAGAGCAAAGGGAGAGGCATGGCATGGAATGGAAGAAGACTAAAAAAAACTTTTCTTGTGACTGCATAGAAACTGACAATAAAAATGTAAAGTTCAGGGACTTCCCTGAAGTTCAGTGGGTAAGACTCTGCGCTCCCAATGCAGGGGGCCCGGGTTCGATCCCTGGTCGGGGAACTAGATCCCGCATGCCTGCCGCAACGCAACTAAGAGTCCGCATGCCGCAACTCAGAAGTCTGCGTGCCAAAACTAAAAATCCCGTGTGCCGCAACTAAGACCTGGAGCAGCCAAAATAAAATTAAAAAGATGTTCCATAAAATTTAAAAAAAATGCTAAAGTTTGGTGATTATATTGATAACTGAATGGAAAATCAGTACTATACAGAAGCTTAACTTATCTTTCAGGCAAGATAATTCTGTTTGCTTTTGATGTATTGCCAGAGTTCTGCAGGAACATCTGGCTGACTGGCAGTTATGTCTTCTGAAGGGAGGGTTCAGCTGCTGCTACCATCACACTCTAACTTCCCTTAGTACCATAAGGTTTATCTGAATCTCAGAATATCTACGATCATGCAAGATCGAAATTTCCCTTCGAGCTGATGTTTGTCTTTCGTTTGTTTCCTAATTAGCATTCAGGTTTCAGCCCAAGAGTTCACTGCCAGAGGCATAACGTCTCCCTTGGTGGTGACCCCTGTTGTCATCCTTCTATAGTGAATTCATAGGACTGTTCTCTGATTTTCAACTTCGCTTTGTGGTACTAGGTCTGTGAATGTTTAGTTGACAATACGTGCGCGCCTCTCTCATTTCCTGTTTTTAAGGGCTGCACTTAATTTATTTGAAAGGGTGGAATATTTTAAATTACAATTCAGCAGTTTTACTAAGGAAGGCTGTAAAACACAATGAGCAAGGAGTTTTACTTCCTCCTCACAATTGCTACTGCCCTGTTTTGAAATCTTGATATCCTCCAATCAGTGGGAATGACCTTAACTTAGGCTGTAACATTTTGAAGAGCAACCACGCCATGGCTGGAGCTGTCGAGGGGCATGGGACTCCTGCACACCCTCATTCCATTTTTCCAGACGCCTTGTTTGTACCCGGAATGTGTCTGCCTGTGCTTGATACTGCTCTATCGTGTTGAGTCCCCCTCCCACAGGCACAGCATTTGGATTGGTTATGGAATACAGTTGCTCAGCCAATCAAGTGTAACCTTTCTCCTGCAACCCTAGCAACACCTGACAATGGTCATTGACAAATGTTGAGAGCAAACCTGACCAATCCAACCAGCCACTGACAACGGTCCCCGTCCAGGGCAAACAGGGCGAGCCCTGCCCACAGAGCACTTTGTGTGGCCAGAGGAGATAGTGGTTTGCGCCAGACCTGCAAAAGCAGAACCTGCACGTGGGAGCACAGGCTTGCACCCAGCACCCTACCCCGATTCGCTGCCACTCTGGCCAAGCTGACATTAGTTGGTCAAAGCCAGCACTGGAGCTGGCGTCTGTGGGGTGTGGGAGGGTCTCATTACCTCTCATACTAACCTAACCCACACAGCAACCCACCCCCCGTACCTACCAGTGTCTTTTCAGTGGTTGGAGAAAGAGCCCATATAAAACTTTGGCTCCAGGGTCACACTTCCGGCTCTGATGCTAATTTGGCCCTCAGGGCAGGGCCAGAGGAGCAAAATACCTGGCTGTGTCCCCAGTGGCACCTTTCCAAGCTTCCTGGCTATGTATTTTTACCTCCAAGCCTGACTCTGAACCCTGCTGGGGTACAGTTGGCCTGTCTGCCTCAGCTGCGGGCACACTGAGACACTCCTCAGGACACTGCTGGACCTGAATGAGCTCTCACTTCTCTCTGGAAGGCTCTGAGACTGAGGGACCTGTAGGCAGACCTGGCAGAGGCTGGGTGGGGTGGGCTGGGGGCTGGGAACAGGATAAGAAAGGGGACCTGCCAAGAACATGCACAGACAATTCGTAGGCAAATGCACGTTCCCACCAAGACATAATAGCTGTGTGTGTATGATGCCCTCCTGAAGTCCCCTTACACGATCATTCCTGTTAGTCTAGCCACTTTGAAGGCGTATTTCAAACTGTGGTTGAGTAATCCGCTGTGTGGTGATTAGCTGTTAATGAAGCTGAAAATACCTAAATCATCCAACAAGGAATCTGAATTAATTTTTTTATGGTTACCCTGCTAGACAAGTCGGTGTCACGACAAAGACAGACCTGGGGATATATGCAGACATTGGCACACACGGATAAACCTAGGCATGAGGAACAAAGGTGGAACAAGGTGGGAAAAAAAAAATAAAGAAAAAGGAAACTTCAAGGAGAGCCATGCGTTGAAGAGTGTGAAACCCAAGGTAACATTGTGAAATTAGTGAAGTTCATTCAACAACCCCCTTCTTATTAGCACCACCCTATAGGGCCTGTCCTCAATTTAATTTTCCATGAGAGGTGGCAGAGGGATTGGCACTCGGTCACTTTAATCCCTTGGGATTAAACATTGATAATGGTTTCAAGTCTTAGCCCTTGGGGGGATATCGATATTTTTCAAAGGGGGCTCATGAAGGTCCAAAAGAACTAAATCTCTAATGGTTGAATTGTAAATTGAGAGGAATAACTTTAGAAACTTGGCCTTGCTCAAACACACTTTTTTTTAAATTTTATTTTTTATATAGCAGGTTCTTATTAGTTATCTATTTTATACATATTAGTGTATATATGTTAATCCCAATCTCCCAGTTCATCCCACCACCACCAGCCCCCGCCACCACTTTTCCCCCTTGGTGTCCATATGTTTGTTCTCTACGTCTGTGTCTCTATTTCTGCCCCGCAAACCGGTTCATCTACCATTTTTCTAGGTTCCACATACATGCGTTAATATAAGGTATTTGTTTTTCTCTTTCTGACTTACTTCACTCTGTATGACAGTCTCTAGATCCATCCATGTCTCTACAAATGACCCAATTTCGTTCCTTTTTATGGCTGAGTAATATTCCATTGTATATATGTACCACATCTTCTTTATCCATTTGTCTGTCAATGGGCATTTAGGTTGCTTCCATGGCCTGGCTTTTGTAAATAGTGCTGCAATGAACATTGGGGTGCATGTGTTTTTTTGAATTATGGTTTTCTCTGGGTATATGCCCAGTAGTGGGATTGCTGGGTCATATGGTAATTCTATTTGTAGTTTTTTAAGGGGCCTCCATACTGTTCTCCATAGTGGCTGTGTCAATTTACATTCCCACCAACAGTGCAAGAGGGTTTCCTTTTCTCCACACCTCTCCAGCATTTGTTGTTTGTAGATTTTCTGATGATGCCCATTCTAACTGGTGTGAGGTGATACCTCATTGTAGTTGTGATTTGCATTTCTCTAATAATTAGTGATGTTGAGCAGCTTTTCATGTGCCTCTTGGCCATCTGTATGTCTTCTTTGGAGAAATGTCTATTTAGGTCTTCTGCCCATTTTTTGATTGCGCTGTTTTTTTTTTAAATATTGAGCCGCATGAGCTGTCAAACACACTTTAAGATAGAAGCCTCCTCTGGATATTCCTAAAGCCAGAATGAAGGCAAGAAAAAGTAGTCGGGGTGGGACGGGGAAGTGCAGTGGGAAGCAGTCCATCAGATGGATGCTTTACAGGAGGATGACACCTTAGATGGAGAGGGAGAGGCAGCAGGCCAGCTTCCACACAGAAATGAGGCAGGAGGTAGTGTTAGAATCACCCATACCTGTCCTTCAGGGAACCTGGAAACTTTCTGGTGACGTGAGATGTGGAAAATTACAACACAGGGTATTATATAATGTGTTAAAAACCAAGTCTTATACAGCCATATATACACACATAGGTTCTAAGTTCAAAGTCTAAAAGCAATTAAACCATTCTTACAGGATGTAAAATTGTAGGGATATTTGCCTCTTCAGCAGACAAGTAAACTATCTTCTTCCTTTTCCAGATTTTTCAAAATATTCAGTTATTACTGGTCAAGTTTTCTGTGAAAGACTTATTAAGACTATAACTATTCAGACTACAGCTATTAAGACTACATACAGAACAACAACAAAAAAGAGGCAACATCTAATGTTTATTTCTTGCTCTGAAAGTTAAGAAATTTTTATCTTCCTCTGAAATAACGAAAGAAAAAATAAAATTGACAATGTGTATCGTACGGTTCTTCGTAACCTAAGTTTCCCATGTGTCAGGAAGAACTTATAAGATGTCTGAAGTGTTATGAAGATGCTTAGAGGAAAGAAGGTAAAGGTTCTCACTTAGAGCTAATAGTTCATGTTCAGCAATTTGAACTTGTCTTAAGGATAAACCCAAGAGCCCCGGGAGAGGGCATAATGAATCTTTAATGTAACAGTTTGGAGCGAATATTTTTCCCCCTTAACCTCTAAGAGATCATTGTTTCCTCTTTCCATGGTAACCAGAACACTTGAAATTGCCAAAACTTGAGACAAAAACCAGAAAAATACAATTAACAGAAGACAAATGTTAAAGGGAGCATGTATCACAGTGTGGCAAACGTTTTGAAATTTGTTTGGAAAGATTTTCTTCTTATTTCTTTGCTTGGAATAAGGCCACAATGTCTAGAATGTAGTAGCAATAGCTTCATGGCATGCTGCTGCATGTTCATTGAATAGATTTTACTCTTTTCTTGAAAGGGAAGGAGAGACCCATGGGCCTTGGCAGAAATCAAGTGAAGGTAAAATGTTGGAAGCTGCTCTGCGGGCAGGTCATGATGTTAACCACAATGAGAAAGCCAGTCTGGCTGAAGTGCCCTTGCTCCCTCCCTTCCATGGAATGAACAAATACTTATTGAGCACCTACTATTTTCTAGGTAATCTGTCCTACACACAACTAAATGAAAAATTACAATTCTAGAAGGGCTTCTAGGGGAAGTACATGAACTACAAGAGTGTGTAACAAGCAGAGCTGACCTGTCAGAGCGGCCAGGCCTTCCTAAGGAAGTATGATTAAGCTGAGTAGGAGGAAACTAGGCAGTGATTGCTGGGCCTGGGGAGAGAGAGCATTCCAGGCAGTGGGAACTCTGGGGCAAAGGCGCTCTGGGGGAAGTGAGCCTCAAGTGTTCAAGGAACCGAAAGCAGGCGGGAGCAGTCTGTGTTGGCAGAACCCCAGAGAGTGAGGGGAATGAACCTGGGACAAGGCCAGCTGGAAAGGTGAGCACCAACCAGGTCATTCCTAATGCATAGCCTTGAGTCTTGCCAGGCGGGCTTGTTGAGGATTTTGTTCTCTATCCCTCCTCATTCCAGGGTGAACTCAAGCTGTAACAGGAAGGCATGACAGGCCCTTCTTGTATGTGATGTGGGAATGGCAACTTCTGGGTTATCTGAAATCTGTTAGGATATTGTCATAAATTCCAGATGTGAACCACCAAGCTTCAAAGGATTATAATTTTATAAAGACTTTAAACCTAAATCATACTCAAGGTATATTATTTTATGTACGATCATTCAACAGGCACCTCAGAGCCATCATCGTGAATTTCAATTATCATCATGTATTAACCCCTCAGAAGCCAGAGTTTGACCATCTAATAACCTTCCCTTTATCTGCAACCTACCTGGAATCCAGGAAGTCTGCAAGAAGCTGAAGTAAATGTGACATAGACTGTGCATATTTTAACCATAGGGGATGTCCTCATTAAGAACTTAGTTGATTTTTATTTTACACACAATTCTAACAAGTGGGTTTTCTGGGTTCCAAAGCCACAGCAAATGGGAAGCAACAATTCAGAAAGGGAGGAGGAATGGGGTTATATGACAATAATTAAAAGTAACAGGGGACAGCACAACTGTAGAGGAGAAGACCAAAAAAACTGAGGGAAAAAAGACATAAAAACTAAAAACTAAATAAAAAGTGAAAGGAAGGAAGGACGAAAGGAAAGAAAGAATGAAAGAAGTCTAGAGTTGTTAGTTGTGGACAAACTGTCTTGCATGCCTTAGTAGCTCTTGAGGTCATCATTGTGTTTATAGTGAGACGCTATGCTTAAGAAGCCAAGGAAGTGCATCACATTAGATTTCTAGCCTACAGGGTTAAGATTTTTTTTAAAGTTTTGGTACTTAAGAAATAAATCTTCAGTTTTTTGGGGAAAATGTCTATTCAAGATGGTTCTTATAAAGGTTCTTATAACCATGGTTTTATTGTAGTGTAGTTCTGTGGACGTGTTAGTTAATATAGATTTCAGGTTGAAAAAATATCTGACATACGAGCTTTTGCTGAGACTGCTTCATTTCACAAGATATTTAATTCTGGGTTTGAACGAAGTCATTGGAAGTGACACTTTTCGTATCTGAATTGTCATGATGCTATTCTTGACAAGGAATGAGTTCTTGAATATTTAGAATATTGTAGGTGATAAAAATGTCCTTAATAAATACGTTATAAAGTTTGGCTTTCACATTTTTAACTTTAATTTTCATGCTTGTCTCTTAAAAGCAAATAATCTTTTTCTAGGCATAAGGTGCCCCCAAAAGTTACTTGGTTGTCTGAACTGTATGTCTTTACTTCCTCCAGATGGGAATGAGAATGAATAAAATACTGTTTGATCAGTTTGGAAAATGCTCATGCTGTATGTTTATGAAATGATTTGGGGGATGACATTATTTTCTGCAAATACATCCTTCATACATGTCAGAGCACGTTTTGACTCCCTAGAGAATATGTTCATACCATAGCATTTAATGTCTTCAATATGTTTTTCTCCTACCATCTCACCTACCAGAGATATGTGCAAAGAGTGAACTGGTAGATTGATGCAATTTTGAGGAAATCATTAATTTTCTAAGTTAAGATTTTTCTATAGTGCTACTTTTTCAATGTTTAAAACTGGGAGTTATTTTTCCAGTTGACATAGGTAAATAAATGTGGAAGTAAATATTTTTTACATTATTCAATTAAATAGTATTCTTGTGTCTATCTATCTTGTGACAAGCTTAACAAATACTTACTAAAAAGTTACAGTTACAAATAACCCAATCAAAAAATGGGCAGAAGCTCTAAATAGACATTTCTCCAAAGAAGACATACAGATGGCCAAAAAGCACATGCAAAGATGCTCAACATCACTAATTATTAGAGAAACGAAAATCAAAACTACAATGAGGTATCACTTCACACTGGTCAGAATGGCCATCATCAAAAAATCTACAAACAATAAATGCTGGAGAGGGTGGGGAGAAAAGGGAACCCTCCTACACTGTTGGTGGGAATATAAACTGGTGCAGCCACTATGGAGAACAGTATGGAGGTTACTTAAAAAACTAAAAATAGAACTACCATATGACCCAGCAGTCCCACTCCTGGGCATATACCTGGAGAAAACCATAATTCAAAAAGATACAAGCACCCCAATGTTCACTGCAGCACTATTTTACAGTAGCCAGGACATGGAAGCAACCTAAATGTCCATGAACAGAGGAATGGATAAAGAAGATGTGGTACATATATACAATGGAATATTACTCAGCCATAAAAAAGGACAAAATCATTCCATTTGCAGCAACATGGATGAACCTAGAGATTGTCATACTGAGTGAAGTAAGTCAGATAGAGAAAGACAAATAGCATATGATATTGCTTATATGCGGAATCTAAAAAGGGTACAAATGAACTTATTTACAAAACAGAAGTAGAGTCATGGATGTAGAAAACAAATTTATGGTTACCAGAGGTGGGGGGGAGGGATAAACTGAGAGATTGGGATTGACATATACATACTACTACATATAAAATAGGTAACTAATAAGAACCTGCTGTAGAGCACAGGGAACTCTACTGGATACTCTGTAATGGCCTATATGGGAAAAGAATCTAAAAAAAAAAAAAAGAGAGTAGATACATCTATATGTATATGTATAGCTGATTCACTTTGCTGTGCACCTGAAACTAACACAAAATTGTAAATCAACTGTACTCCAATAAAAACTTTAAAAAAAGTTAGTTTTTTTTAAAGGGGAAGGACTAAAAGCTATAAATAAATGTGGCATTTCCTATTTCTTTTGGCTATCACTAGGTTCTAAGTCATGTTGGAGGTTTGTTAAACATTCCGGTTCTGAGATGGTTTCATTTGATGCGATCTTCTCCACTGCACTTTGGATTGGAACGAATAGACTATATTTACACTAAAATATTTTTGCTAAAAATTAACAAGAGTAGATTATCTAATATTTAACAAAAGCAAACACTTTTTACCTCTAGAGGGGGGAATTATTGTCCAAATTACAAAATTTGAAGCAAATTAATTTATAAGAAAATTGCCAACCTGATTTTTTTGTATATGTTGAGATGTAATGATTTATTTTTCAAAAACCCAGATTGTAACTTTAAAGACTTTTGTCTTAACAGAATACACTGCTCTTAGACATAGGATGGAAAAGATTGGTTGGTTGATCAGTTGTTGAATACACTTTCTTTTAGAAAATTCTAGAAAACCTGTGGGTAAGTGATAATGTGGCCGCTGAATTATGCATTATGATGTTTCCCAACTTGTCTTTTCTAAAGAATTATCCAGGGCATATATTAAAACAACAACAACAACAAAAACACAGATTCCAGATCCCACCCCAGCCCTCTCCAGGGGAGAGGTAAAGGAAATCTAAATTTTAAACAAGTACACAGGGCTATTCTTATAATCTGGGCAAGTTTGGGAAATACTGGATAATGGGAAAAGTTCTGGCTTTATCATCAGACAGCCTGAACTTGAATACCTGCTAGGCCAGAACAGAGCTGAATAACCTTTGATGAATTTCTTTGAGCCTCAGTTCCTTCATTCATTTCTTGTGCCAGGGCAGGGCGGGGAGGGGTGCTAAGGGGGACTGGGGACCAAATGAGTTACTGTTTATAAAAGACCTAGCACTGCATCTGCACCCACTCTCTAAACAATGATAATAGTGAAATATCAGTAGTTTCATTTTCTGGATTTTAACGAAGTTGAAATGGATCAAATTTTTCTCCTCTTCAAAGATAGAGCAGTGGTTTTAATGCCCACTTCTTATTTTGCCCAAGGATCTATTTGGTGGAAATGACTGACCAGGGAGATTCTTTTGGCACTTTCCCGTTATTGGACATTTTGTCCTGATAAGGGTCATCTCTAATATCTCTATTATCTCATTCTTTACTCTTTTTTTGGCACATAGAATTCTCTGTCATTCCACTGAAGGGGAGAATAAGCCTGATTCATAGGCTAACTATGCTATTTTAGGCTTTTTTTTCTCTCTAAATAATTTAATTATATCCCAGGGAACATAATTGGCTTTGGTTATAATATAAAAAGTATACCCCAATATAAAAGCATGGAAGTGGGAATAACTTTGTGTCCATCTTCAAATGACTTAAAGTTCCTTAGATCTAATCTAATTCTCACATCTTGGAATCTTCCTATTAATGGAAAATTATTCTTTTAATTAGCTGAGATGACTGGCAATAATGATCAGGCAAAGCCATTTTTTTCTTCTGCAGGCCTCCTCCTAAGTGCTAGGGCTGTGTGAAGTTCTTGCCACCAAAGGGTAGTTTTCAAACTTGACTGTAAAGAAGACTCACATGGGGAGTAAGTGAGTGTCAGTTTCTGGTTCCCAGCTCCAAAACTGTGTGCAGTGCTCTGGAGCACTCTAAGGATCTCTTGGAAAACCAGTGCTCCAGGAATTTGATACATCTCTATTGAATTTAATTCAAATTTTCATTCTTAAAGACAGGTAGAGATGCCATGACAGATGTCTAGACAGGACTCCACTGCTCCTTTCAAATAAATTCCTTAGCTATCCATCTATTGATGCATCCAACTGCAACAGGCCAGGTGATTGGTAAGGTGCTGGGGGAGAGGGTGTCTCTCTTCCTTGTGGCTATGAGTTTAGCTACTGGGAGTCCTGTTTATGAAGTCTGCCTAAGAGCCTAGCTCCTGACCACACCGGCTGATGTGGTGTGGTGTGATTTGATATGATGAGTCACTGCATTTGGGAAGCTGTAAACTTTTTGTACTTTCATTTCCTACCATTGCCTAATGGTAAACATTGAAGCATAACCAGAGGCCTCTAGCCCTTATGTGGTCCCTACAGTAGAGGCTTGTTTGAAAAGGGCAATTATAAGTAATTTAGTAACGATTTCTATGAACACCAGAAAAAAAAAAAACCACTGTAAATACCTCAAAAATGAGAGTGGCACAGTACCAGCCAAAGATGACATACTGTCACTTCTTCCTTGACTCATGAGGGTAGCTGACCTCTGGGGAGACAGAAGGCTTGCAGTGCAGTGCTGGGCACCTGGGACTACAGAGATGGCTAAGGCATAATCTCAACCCTCAGAGAATTTCTAACCAGGGAAGAGAGACAAGATGAATGGCTTGAGCAGGTGTAAACATAGCTGTGACACTCAGCAGAATGGTATAAATGTAACGAGAAAGATCCAAAGCGTTACAGTGGCTCCAGGAGAGAGAGATCACATATCCAGGTGGCTTTTCCCAGAGGAAGCGGCATTGGAGCCAGTCCTGGAAGGAAGGGTAGGAATTTGACAAGTTACAAGGGAAGAGACAGTGTCTCTCTTACAGGCCACAGGAACATCTGGAGCAAATGTGCAGAGTGGGAAAGTTGGGATGACATCTGGGGAGCTGGGAGAGGTCCTGATGGGACCTAACAAAATTCCTGTTGGGGAACTGGAAGGTCTGCTACATTTTAGTGGAAGATTAGGCTGGAAAGTTGCGTTTGGTCAAGATCATATCTGAATTTGGACTTTTCCTAGTAGGTGGCAGGGAGTCATTTAAAGGGACTTGAGCAGGAGGGTGACACCATCAGAATTATACTTTAGGAAGCACAGCAGCTGGGTGGAGGAGGATTTGCAGGAGGAAAGGTTATACAGACACACCAGTGAGGAGGCTGTGCAGACTGAAGAGGAGGAATAATTGACTGAGCGAGAGGGGCTGGGATAGATAATGCAGCAAGTAAACCTATATGGGAGTTGCAGGCAAAGGCAAAGAGGAAAAAATCTTGGGGGCCTATGAACAGGTGGCAACAGTAATAACAATCTAGGGGAAGGAAGAGAGTCTGGTTTCCAGGGAAATGTGGTACTTTGGGTTTGAGGTGGCAATGGAAAAGGGAGCTGGCCACCAGGAAGAAATGAGTGAGCTGAAGCAGAGACCATGGTTGGGAGTTGGGAACAGTGGAAACTCTCCAAGGGGTGGGCCACTAAAAATGGAGAAGAGGACCCTCATAGTCTATAGGGCAGGGTGTACCTTAAACAGTTGGGAGGAAGAGAAACCCCACAGTAAGGCAAAGAAAGATGAGTTGGAGACACTGAAGGGACAGGAGAGTGTCAGGGAAACCAGAGAGGAGGACAGTTCAAGAGGGAGGGTGTGGTCTCAATGTAAGAGACTGCAGAGAGGGAAAATGGGGTTAGGCTGAGGTGGAGGCTCTAGAGTCATCTTTGAACAGAGAGTTTAATGAAATCCCTCCGATGTAGGATGATGCCTTAAATCCAGTCTCTTTGGTTCAATACAAAATCAAGATCTCTAAACATTAAGCACCTCCAAAGGTGTCTACTTTCCTGCTCAGTATGAATTAACTTCTTCCACTAACACCACGTAGGACCCTGAATGAGTCACTTACCCTGTCTGGGGGTATGAGTTTTGTCATCTTTAACTTTCCAGTTCAGCGATTCTGTCTGTACCTGTATGAAAATTCTTTTGTAAGCTACACAGTACACAAGCCTAAGTCCTATCATGACTGTGTTTGAAGACAGAATGGAACCCAAATTTTACTTTTTGACTTACTTTCTTCTATCACCTATATTTTTTTAAAACTTAAAAACTTTTATTTTTTTAAGAAACCCCGAAATAGAACTGGAGGAAAAATCTTCCCTCTCGCTTTTGCCCATAAAGATAGTCTTCCAGTTTTCTGCCCAGGCCTTTTCCTAAGCATTGAGGAGGTGCCCAGAAAAATACCAGATGGATATACAAAAACATAATGTCACCAACATTTTCCTAACTAGTAAGGCAGCTATGGAAAGTCTGCCAGCATCAGGTCCCCTGGGGACCTGCAGCCTGGGGCTCGGTGAGGCCTGAAGAGGGGAAGAGCCAAGACCTGGAGCTCGAGGTCTTCGGGGCCGCGGCCCTGAGTGGGCGATTTTCTTTAAAACTCGGGAGCGCTCTTATCCCTTTAAATCCAGGCAACGAGGCGGGCAGGTGGGTATCAGCCAATAACCTTAAAAGATGCGAAAGTGTCAAAGGAGATACGGTTTATCTTTTACAATAGCGACAGTTATCAGTGACAGGGTTTACAGGAAAAACAGAAGGCAGGGCAAAGAGTAAGGATGCCTCTAATGTGGTAATTAAGTCTGTGTTTTGGACCCAGATTCAACCGAGCTCTGGAGAGTGCGAAGAACAATGTCCGCGGCGTTTCGGGTTCAGCCGGGACTAGCTACTTCGCCTTCACCGGCGCCCTAGCCCCAGCAAGCTGGGCTCTCCGCTCGCCTGCCCCCCACGCTGCCTTGTCCCGGGAGGATGGGCCGTTCGGGCGCCGCCAGGGCGGCAGAGAGCGCGGCATTTCTCCTGAGCGCCAGGGCTCCCCGCAGCCCGGCGCCCAGGGCGGACGCGAGCTGCAAATCTAAGTGCGCACCGAGCGCGCTCGCAGCCACCGTCCGCCGCCGAGCGGCCCGGGCGCGCCGTCTGCAGACGGCTGGGCTGTGCGCGCGCGCCCGTAGGGTGTGTGCGCGCGCGCCCGTGGCGTGTGTACTCACAAAGGTGTGTTTGCTAAATCCACTTCCCGGGTGTGCCCTCTACCCCGAGGCGGAGCACCCCCGGGCCTGGAGCGGGATCCCTGCAGAGCGGCCGCTGGGGCCAGTTCAAGTTCCCCAGCTCCGCGCCGGCGGGCGGGCCGGCTTCTCAGCCCGCGGGGCTGAAGGAGCGCGAGGGCGGGGCGGCAGCGGCCAGCTCGAGACGCGCGTCGCACAGCTGCGGGACAGGTTCCGAGCGCTCTGCGCGTTTCCGGACACTTTGGCCGGCTTGGTATCCGAGACAGAGCGCACGCGGGGCTCGGGGCTGAATGCGCCGCAGCCAAGAGGGGCAGCGGAGCTGGTGCTCTTCTTCTCCGCCTTGGTCTGCAAAAGTGAACTGGAAAACAGCCGCCTAACGCAGCCTCCTCCCTCTTCTCCGGCACCGCAGCTCGGGCTGGGGGTGGGGGGAGCTCCTCCGGGCTGACTGGAGGGGAAGCGGGCGGCCGGACGGCCTCAGCCGCACCTCCTCCGCCTTCCTCACCACCCCAGTTCCCCGGGTTCCACGCCGCATTTCTTTGTTTTGAAAGCACCTCCTCCGCCCAGAGGCTTTTCCCCCGGCGGTCAGGCTGTGACGGGGGGTGGGGCATCGACCCGCGGGCCCCGCCCCCCGTTTAGCCCGGACCCCTCCCCTGTGCTCACCTCCCATCTCCCCTTCCCTCCCCGCTGCGACCCACGAGGCGCGTCCTCACTTGCTGGACATCAAAGGGAGGCTGGGAATTGGAGGGGGAAGTTGAGTAGGCAGGGGGCGCAGAGACCCACCCATCTTAGGCCAGGCCAGGCGGCCCGCCCCCTCCCCCGGGAACCCCGCCTGAGCCCCGCCCCCCGCGTCACAGCAGTCTGACATTCTCACAACCCTTCGGGAACCCAACCCCAGCGCCCCCGCTACCCCCGTGTCCGCTGAGCGCTCTATTTATGTTTCAGCCCAGCGATTTGCATAGGCCCCGCCCTTGGCCCTAGGTTCCCCTATCGGGGCCCCGCCTCAGCCTCGACGTCACGGTGAAGGCCTCACCTCTTGTGCCCGTACAAGGAGCGGCGGGCCCTAGATGGCAGCGTGGCGTCGCGGCGGCGTGTGCGTGTCGCGCTTCCTTGTGCCGTTTATAGGGTCCTGGCACTTCCGCTGTCGGGTTAGAAGCGGCGCGGTCATGGCGGAGCGCGGACAGCAGCCTCCTCCCGCGAAACGGCTCTGCTGCCGGCCGGGCGGCGGAGGCGGTGGCGGCGGCGGCGGGGCCAGCAGCGGCGGCGGAGGAGCGGGTGGCGGCTACAGCTCTGCCTGTCGGCCGGGCCCGCGGGCGGGCGGCGCGGCGGCGGCGGCGTGCGGGGGCGGCGCAGCGCTGGGGCTGCTGCCGCCGGGCAAGACCCAGAGCCCCGAGTCGCTGCTGGACATCGCGGCGCGCAAGGTGGCTGAGAAGTGGCCGTTCCAGCGCGTGGAGGAGCGCTTTGAGCGCATCCCGGAGCCGGTGCAGCGCCGCATCGTCTACTGGTCCTTCCCCCGCAGCGAGCGGGAGATCTGCATGTACTCGTCCTTCAACACCGGCGGCGGCGCCGCGGGCGGCCCCGGAGAAGACAGCGGCGGCCCCGGCGGCGCGGGCGGCGGCGCGGGCGGCGCAGGCGGCGGCGGCTCCTCG